GAGACAACTCAGTGTAACACGGAGACAAAGCTACAAGGCAAGCACGGCCCCTTTACAAAAGCACTACACAAGTAAAGCACACCCCTTTGGGGAAAACATGCAACGCTGTCCCAGCTGCGGAAAAAACAAAGCAACTAGCACAGCCGCAGACAAAAGCTAAACTTGCTCATGAAATGGCTAAGTGGGACCAGGCATGGGGGTACACGCCTGTAATCCCTGTAATCCCACCATTCAAGAGGCTGAGGCAGGAGGATCATTGGGAGTTTGAGACCAGCTTGGCTACAAAGTGCACTCAAGGCCAGCCTGAACTGCATAGAGAGACCCTGTCTCAGAAAGAAAAAAAAAAAACAAAAAGAAGAGAAAAGACACAGCTAAGTGGGGACTAGAGTGCTGACAACCGAAGGCTAATGAGACATTAAGGCTATGGCTACAAGCAGAGGAGACAACACAACAGAAGAGCTTGACACAGGTCACAGCCAAAAACAAAAACAAAACAGGAGACTGTATTCAGATAAGCCACCAAAGCGGGGGGTGGGGGAGGGGAGCTCCTCCTCCATATGGTGACCAGGAAAAAACATTTAAACAAATCAAAGAGGCCCTGACCCAGGCCCCAGCCTTAAGACTGTCAGATATAACCAAGCCTTCCTTCCTATATGTCCATACACACACCAAAAATGGCCGTAGAAGTCTTAACCCAGGTCATGAGATCCTGACCTTGTCATGTGACACACTTGGCAAAACAGTGAGACTCCAGCCCTAAGGTGGCCTCCGTGCTTTAGGATGCCTGCTGCCACCATCACCTTGCTGATGCAGGGAGCTAATAAGCTGACTTTGGGACAACAGCTGACCGTTCGGGTACCACACTCAGTTGTAACCTTAGTGGGTGAGAAGACACCACTGGCTGTCAGATCTGAGGATGACTCAGTATCAGGGGCTTTTATATGAAAATCCCTGCATGTAACTGTGGAGAAAATGAACACCCTTAACCAGCTACCTTGTTTCTACTCAAACCAGGAGCCCCTCTGCCCCTGACTGTGTGGTTATACTAAAAAGGGTCCAACAACAGGATATGCAATGGTGACTCAACTCCGGTTGAGGCCCAGTCTCTGCCTACTGGAACCTCAGGACCAAAGACAAAACTAATAGCCTTGACAAAGGCTCTTTTGCTGGCAAAGGATACAAGAGCTAACATCTATACTGACTCCAAATATGAAAAACAGGGCTCCGACATCTGAGAAAAAAGATAAAATACAAAAAAATTTACAGCTCCTAGGTGCTATATCGGACCCAAGAAAAGTGGGGGTTATATACTATGGGGGGACACCAGAGGACTGGACCAATAAAAGCCAGAGAAAACCAAAAGAATAACAGGCAAGAAAGCAAAGTGGGTTGCTATGACAGCCCCACAAAGGGGGGCCTAGCTCTGTCTCTCATCCCACAGCCATTGCTCCCAGAGACCCCAAATAACTCTCCAAATGAAAAAGTCTGGTTTGCCCGAGAAGAAAAATGTATAAAGGCAGATAATAAACATCACTGACGGGAGGCTAGCCATCCCTGAAGTGCTGGGCACCCATTTCATAAAGCAGTTCCACCAGGAGTCTCACACGAGAAAGAACACTGAAAACATTCCTAGGCTGCCATTGAGTGCCAGGACTCACTACTGTCAGCTCAGGCTGTTTATAAACAGTGCTTGACCTGTACACAAAACAGCCCAAGGCCAGGGCTCACCTGGGCCCCAGGTATCCAGGAAACAAGACTTACCACCTGTACAAACTTGCTTATAGATTTTACTAAATTGCCTCTAGCTAGTGGCTATTGAAATATGTTAGTGCTTCACTGTCCCTCCTCAAGGTGGGTTAAAGCTTTCCCCACCCAAACAAAAAACACATGAGAGGTGACCAAGGTGCTGTTAAGAGACATCATTCCAAGATTTGGATGACCCCTGACCTTAGCATTGGACAATGGACGCACACTCATAGCTGAGCTAATCCAAGAGCTCACACAAATGTTAAAGATAAAATTTTCACAGAGTTTACCAGCCACAGAGCTCAAAAACAAACAATAACAGCAATGACAAACACATACATCAGACATTCAAACAATTGTTAAAAAATATTGTCCAAAAACCCACTTGAGCCAGGCATGGTGGCGCACGCCTGTAATCCCAGCCCTCAGGAGGCTGAGGCAGGAGGATCATTTCGAGTTTGAGACCAGCCTGGGCTACAAAGTGAGCTCAAGGCCAGCCTGAACTGTATAGCAAGACCCTGTCTCAAAAAGACAAAACAAACCAACAAAAAAAAACCCACTTGAGATCAAATCCTGCCCATGGTACTCCTCTGAGTTCAGTGCACCCCCTCCAAACAAACTCGGTATTCCCCTTACAAAATCTTGTGTAGCTGGCCTCACCCAATCGTAGATAAAATTAAGGGTGATCTCTATAAGTCAAAAAATTAATGTTAAAGAGAGACATACAGGCTTTAAAAGTAGGGATATAAGACCTCCATAACTGCAGAAAAAATGCTCGTGAGTCTGACAGACCCACTACACCCATTCAAACCTGGAGATTTTGTTTTGTTTAAAATAAAATAAAATCCAACCACTGTGGGGCTCATATGGGATGGCCCCATACTGTAATGTCGTCCGCTCCCTCTGCTGTTCAAGTTACAGAAAATGCCTTAGATCTACCATAGTCAGCAGAAGCCAATGGCCCAAGACAAGTGGACCAGCCAGCAGGATCCAGACCACCAGAACCAGCTGATCTTGTAACGAGATCAGGCTGTCACCAGAGACAACAGCCCTGTTCTAGTCATCCTGGAAGCTGATCAGTCTACTCACTGCTGAAGCTTGAGGCTCTACGTGGGGATACAATGACAACATAAATCTCTTTTTCCTTTTTGCTATAATTCCTTCTGTTTCCAAAAGGGAGCCAACCCCCCATAGCAAGGTAAATGTGAATGATAATGATGCTGCCTTTAATTTTAATAACTTACTATAGAAAGCATCAAAGTGGGGAATGAAGTGAGACTTAAAGACCAATTCCCCTCAAACTCCCCCGCTCCTCTCTATGGCTACAACTTCTTGTTCTGGTGCAGATAAGATTGGCAACTATGTCCTGTGAACAGAGTTTATGTCATCTTATTCTCGTAGGATTCATAAGGCTCTGTCTTCTGTCAAGGCTAAGTTACAAATTGCTTTCTCTTGCCTTTGCATCCTGGCTTGCCCCCCACCTAGTTTCTAAAGACTAACTCCCTCAGCCAAATGTATAACACTAGAGCCTTTCCTTTGTTCTGACACCCACCCCTTTAGACACCAGTTTGGCTGGGTCAATGTGCATCTAAAATCCTAGAAATAAATCCTCCTTTTTTCCGTTGGTCTCTCTGATCTCTTCGATTCTTCAACAGTTCAGTCTGAACTCACTATGTAAGCCCAGACTGGCCTCGCACTTGCTGTAATCCTCCTGCCTCAGCCTCCCAAGTGCTAGTGTTGTAGGAAGCTGAGTTAGATAGAAATACAGGCAGTCAGACAGGGCCAGGCCCTTGAAGGAGCCAGTATAGAAAACAAGATATCTTCTTGCAGATGGAGAGGCAGTACTTGCTTTGGGCCAGATCTCAAAACAAAAGATTAAACAAACACACTCACATACCTCCCTAGGGATGGACCTCAGGGATTGATATTCTAAATAGGTAGCAATTACCTTGAAGAGTCACTGACCCAACCCCCTGCAGGAAAAGCCCCTGTTTTGTATTTATGCCTGCTTGCTATATGACTCACTTTCCCATTTGATCCTAATTTAATCAATTTTACCTAAGCAATTCTTATTGGCTGATCATAGTTTTGTCCTACCTCATGTGCACCTTGTGATTTCCCATTTTTCCCCTACTTGGACCTGCCTCACCTTGTGGTTTTGCTCTATTAAGTCCCTAGAGAAGACAGAGTCATGGGCAACCCACTGGGGGGGTGCTTATCTCTCTCTCTCTCTCTCTCTCTCTCTCTCTCTCTCTCTCTCTTTCTCTCTCTCCTTCCTTCCCTTCCTCGCTCCCTCTCTCCCTCTCTCTTCCTCTCTCCCTATCTTCCCACTCTCTCTCTCACAGAAGCTTTCTTTCCCTCAATAAATATATTCTGCTCTTAACCTCCGTTGTTCCTAAAATTCATTCTTCAATTTTAGAGAACACAAAATTATCTCAGATATTGTTCAGGTTGGGAGTTTTTCTCCACTGTATCACTAGGATTACAGACATATGCACCATACCTAGCTCAGGAATTTTAACTATTTTTACAAAACAATTAAGACAAAGAGTAGAGCTAGATTTTTTTTTTTCTTGTAGTGCTAGGATTTGAATCCAAGGCCCATACATGCTTGGCAAGGAGTCTACCACTGAACTACATCCTTAGACCTATTCTGTCTTTTTTTTGTTGTTTTGTTTTTTGAGACAGGATCTTGCTATGCAGTTCAGCCTGACCTTGAGCTCACTTTGTAGCCCAGGCTGGCCTCAAACTTGCAATGATTCTCCTGCCTCAGCCTCCCAAGTGCTGAGATTACAGGGGTGCACCACCACGCCTGGCTATTCTGTCATTTTAAAATGAAATATTAGTAATAATTTTCTAGAAAAGGGTGAGTTTTTACCTAAAGAGATAATTAAAATTTTTATTTTATCTTTTCTCTTTCATAACATTACATATATATGAATACTTCAGAATAAATAGCCAATATTTAGTGCTTACTGTAAACAAATACTGTGCATAGCACTGCAGAATTACAGTTCTGTCCTCACCTTCCCATTATAAATGAAGGAATGAAAGCTCCGTGAGATTAATTAACTGGCCTAAAGTCACATAACTAGTCAGTTTAAGAGCCAGGACATAATCTTAGGGTTCTGACCTCAGACCTCAGAGCCCACATTCCTGGTTTCTTCTTTTGGTTCATTTGTTTGTTATTTTCATATAACTGGGAAGCTTTATTAATCTGCTGGAGCTGGGGCCATGCAAACTGCTGGCACCTCTCACTTCAGTATGCTGTCATCCGGGCTTCTGCCAGTTCCCCCTCGATCCGTTTCAGCTCATCCTTCCTCTTCTCTGCTGCTACCTCCTCTCCTCCTCTGCGTGAGGCTTCGGGTAACTGTAGCGCTTGGCTGCGCAGGCGATGCTGACAACCAAGGTGAAGTAGTGGCCAAGCTTGATGAGAGGAGAGAGCTGTACTGGCGGCACCATCTTGCGCCTGACCTTCCTGCTAGAAGTCTTTGTTTTTATTTTTTGAGACAGGGTGTTACTACGTAGTTCAGGCTGGCCTTGAACTCACTGTGTGACCTAGGCTGGCCTCGCCTCAGCAAGTGCTACATCATAGGCATGCGCCACTGCCCTGTAACCACTATATGGTTTATTTATTGTTACTAATGACTCATTTCTTTCTTACAAAACAGTGCTTAAGGATACATAATTTCCATTTCAAAACAAGTACTTAGAAAAATAACCCAATCTTAACTACAGAAAATAAAAACACAAATGGTGCAAGTTCATGGGTCACATAAGGAAGGTCATAATATTGTTTCTGATTTTATAGCCAATGCAGAAAAATTTTAAGATAGTATTTTAAGATAGTATTTTAGGATGGATGAATAACAATTGGGCACGTGACTACTGTGTATACATATATATGTACATATATGCTAATTTTGGTGTTTAATTCTTTTATTTTAAAGAGAATAGTACAAAAAAGAACAATAGCAAAATACAAACAAAACAAAGCAAGGACAATTCTTGACCTTCATAAAGCACTCAAGTAATAAATGCATCACTTTGGTGCTACGGGTTGAGCTGCACGCCCCACCCACCCAGTGCAGATGTTGAAGCTCTGACCTTCCATACTTCAGAATGCGGCCTTATCTGGAAGCAGTCTTTACAAAAGTAATTGAATTACAGTGAGGTCGTTAGTGTAGCCCAGTGCAGGGTGACGGGTGTCCCTGTGAGAAGAGAATCAGGTTGTGGAGACAGCCGTGTAGAGAGGAAAGACAGCACGAAGGGACAGGGAACCCGCTAGCCACAGGGGAGAGACGCAGCTCATACTCCCAGCACCTGTGAATGTGAACTTATTTAAAACAGAGCCCTTCCAGATGTAACCAAGTCAAAATGGGTCGTAGTCAGTAGGATTAGGGTGGGTCCTTAATCCAACACAAGGGCCCTTATAAATAGATTAGGACGCACAAATGCGCCATGCGAAGACAGAGGTAGAGACTGCAGTGTGTAAAGCCAAGGGACACCAGCGACCACTGACAATACAGGAAGCTGAGGGAAAGATGTGGGAAGAATTCTCTTCTGGGTCCCTCAAAGACAAGTCTAGCACCTTGATTTAGAGCTGCAAATCCCCAGAACCTCAAGAGAATGTATTTCTGGTGTTTTAAGTCACCAAGTTCGTGGTCCCTTGTTATAGCAGCCCCAGAAACTAGTGGGGTTGATTCCCTGGGAGGCGATCCGTGTGTGAGTGGCTTGGGAAGGAAGGAGGAAGGGCTCCCATGCAATGCCATATTCCTTAGGTGCTAAAGGTTTTGCTGGTGTGGTGGCGCACGCCTATAATCCCAGCACTTGGGAGGCTGAGGAAGGAGAATCAGTGTGAGTTCGAGGTCAGTCTGGGCTACATAGTGAGTTCAAAGCCAACCTGAACTATATAGCAAGACTATCTCAAAAACAAAACAAAACAAAACAAAACACCAATAAGTAAATAAAAATTTTGACTGTCACCCCAGAGTAAGCACCTGCTATGTACTAGTCCAGGGAACATAATGTGAGCAACAGAAAACAACTTAGATACTTCCTATCTTCATGAAGTTTGTACCCTAACTGTGGAGGGAACAAACACAGATTCCTTTAGGAATGATCATGTGCTGACCTCTGCAATTCAGGCATGTAAAATATGAACTCTTTCTGAAAGAACAATTGGAAAAATCATAAACACTGGCATGGATGAAAAGTTAACTCGCTTCAAGGGCTGAGTCCATTACGGCCTGTAGATTTCTGTGAGACTGCAGAATATTCACATTAAAAATTCATCAGTCGGTGGTTTTGTTAACGCAATTCTCACCATTTTCCCTGCAGTTTTTACAAACAGATAAGACCTTTTCCTACCTATGGCTGCCGGGTGACAGCAAAAGGAGGCTTTCTGAGAGGGAAAAAAAATAACCAGTTCAAAAATACATAGGGTTTTCTTAGGCATGTTCCAAGCCACAGTGGTGGGAAAGGGGAAGGAAGCTGATGGAAAGCCAGCAGTCTTCCTCGAGGCAGGCTTTGAAATACAAACTCAGTTCCACTTTGGGGTCAGAGCTTGACCTCAGATCAAGATGGCCGGGGCATTTTCACAAAACCACATCCACCAGCCATCTGGGCTGCAGTCAGCCCAAGTGCTTACTTCGGTTTTCGTTCTCTGAGACAAAATACGACCAAATTCTACCCAAGGTGATCGAGATCTAAGCATGACACAGCCAGGGAGTGATTAATTAGAATCCAGAAAACAATTTAGGGTAACGAGTAACAGACGTCAGGAAAAAAGACTTGTATTTTTCCTCTTCCTACTTTGCATAGACTTGAATTATTTTATGTACAAAAAGATGTGTTTTTACCTCTGTTTTAATTATGAGCTACCTATTGGAAACCAATATAAGAAATGTTTGAAATACAATCTCTTATTTTTTCTCATGGTGACTTAGAGGTTACAACTGTATGACACATCCCTCATGGGAAGATGGGGTCTAGAGCCCTACCCGCTTACCCCGGGGGGCTTGTGTCCAAGTTCCTAGGTCTGCCATAACAAATTGTCACAGATTGGGCAGTTTAAAACAGCAAAAATGCCTAGCCGGGTGTAAAGGCACATACCTGAAATCCCAGCACTCAAGAGGCTGAGGCAGAAGGATCGATATTAGCTCGGGGTCAGCCTGGGTTACATAGTGATTGCAAGGCCAGCCTGAACTACACAGCAAGATCTTGCCTCAAAAAACCAAAACACCAACAACATCATCAACAACAATGCATTCACCCAGTTCTAGAGTCTGAAAGTCTAAAATTAAGCTGTTGGCAGTCTTGGTTCCTTCCAGCCACTTTCTGAGAGAGAAATGTGCTGTACTGTGCTTCTGTAATAGAGATTAGGAGTCCACAGATGTCTGCCATTTGTTGAAATGATCCACTTAAGATTTGGCCACTTCACTCTACGTCAGTTCTATTTCAAAAATAACTGTCAACAAATTCTGAATTCTCAATAATGATACACATGCTAATGTGTTTAAGGGGAAATATATGGATGTTTGCAATTTATTTTGAAAGTTATCTGGATTAATAAGGGGGAGAACACACAGATAGTTACGCTAAACAGCAAGCTTGTAAAATAATCATAGACTATAGGTGATGGGCATATAGGTGCTAACCGCCAAATATTTTCAATTTTTCTGTATGTTGGAAAGTTTTCATAATAAGATATTGGAAAAATATTTGAAAAACGTGTCTCTTACAGAAATAGATGGGAATTTCTTCAGAATAGTTTGTGTAATTCAAGGAATATTAATGCTTGCTCGGATAAATGCTAGGTTTACCATCAATTTCATGTCAATTTTCCTCTTTTTAAAATGTAAGCATGAGCCGGCCCTGACGGTACTCGCCTGTAATCCCGACACTCAGGAAGTTGAGGCTGGAGGATTGCTGCGAGTTCAAGGCCAGCCTGAGTTACATAGTGAACTTGAGGCCGGCCTGAATTATACAGCAAAACACTGTCTCAAACAGACCAAAGAAAGCATGAGCAAACATGTTCACAGTAATGGAGAAAATGGGAAAGAAAGGAGTTTTGCTCTAATTGTGTTCCATAATTCTTTCAGTCCCCTCTTAACTGTGGTCCCCAAATCACATAAAGAGATACCATCAAAAAGCACAGGCTTTGAGCATCTGTGAGCTGCTTTCTTTTTTTTTTTTTTTTGGTTTTTCTCCGGTACCGGGAACCGAACTCACAACCTTGCACTTGCCAGGCAGGCGCTTTGCCGCTGAGCTAAATCCCCAGCCCCCTGTGAGCTGCTTTCAAAACATGGTCGGGTTCATCTATAGTAGTGGTGGTGATCCCAGGGCACACATGCTGCAGCAGGCACGCAAAGCCCTCTCTGTTGACACAAGAGCCAGGTCGCCCCAGCAGCCAGGCACTGGGTAATTGCAGTGTTGGCACTTCTCGATGAATAAGTGGGTTTTGGGTTGCAGTGTGGGCACTCCGTCTCTAAAAGGTTTGCCATCACTGCCCTATAGCTTCAGGTAGTGCCTGGCATGCAGAAAGTGCTCAATCACTCTGGCTGTCTGGCCAAATAAGTGAGAGGGCAATTAAAGGAGTGCATGAAGAGTTTGCTTTGCTGGCCATGGAGCAGATCTGCCTTTGGCGGACTCTCTGGACATGCTGCAGCTCTCCTGTCTTCCTCCTTGCATTTGACGTGGTTGTGTCTTTGACTCACCCTTCTAACCTCAGTATATGCCTTTCTTCTGTGTCTGCTTTGCCCCATAGTCCAGCTGGCTCTGTGCCTTCACCCAGCTGCTGACTCATGCAGGACGTGTGTGGTGATCTCCCTTCCCACCTTGGCTCCCACTTCCCACAGCAGAACGTGCAATGCAAGCTGCTGAGGTGGGCTTCCCTAGTTGGTGGCCTTTGACACAGTTCCTGAATGCCTGAGATTTTTCGGTTCCCAGGCACCCTCCTCCAACAGCCTCTATTTGTGTTACAGCTTCTGGAAATAGCACTGACTTCAGGCCATTCTCATTCATCCGTTTATTTTTCTGCTTACTATAAATGAAGTAACTCAGATTTGACAGAAATTGAGGTCCATCTTACTTTTCTGTTGCTGTGTGGCACATTACAACAAACTTAGCCTCTTGAAACCACACACATTTATTATCTCCTGGCTTTTGTAGCCCGCATCTGAGGAGGCGTACCTGGGTCCTGGTGTAAGGTCCCATCAGGTTGAAACTCAGGTGGCTACAGGCCCATGGGACTTTCACTCAGGAGACATCCCCTGCTAGGCTCCCTCGAGCGCACGAAAGATTCCATGTCCTTGTGGATTGTGACTCTTGTAGGACTAAGGTCCCAGCTCTTTTGCTGGATACTGGCTGAGCATTAGTCTCAGCTGCAAAGGCACCCGGGGTCACGGGCCTCTCCATATGGCTGCTCACAGCGTGCAGCTTCCCGCTTCTATACCAGCAGT